AATAAACTTTAATAAATTCATTAGTAATATATATAACTATCTAAATAAATACCGCTCAAGGCTCTACTCTTGCTCTGCCAACAAAATGGATAATATTAGGAAATCTAACAAGACAGAAAAAAAACTGTTGCTCTAAAGCTAAGGCCCTTTAATACCAGCCACAATTAAGTATTTAGTAAAGTTCTTCAGCAAACTCAGGCAACTTTAGCTCAAGGTTTTCTATTTTCGGGCCCGTTTTAATTGCTGAAATTCCATTACTCCAATTGCTTCGCATGTGCACTGCATTCCTTTGTTTCCTTTTCATTATAAATTCATTAAGTTTCGCTACTTATAGACGCGCAAGCTTATTGAAAAACAATTAAGCTTTTAATCGTGGGGCAAAGCAATTTCTAATCAGCACAGAACACGGCCTATCAGCGCCGATTGCCGAGGTCAGTATTGCTCCCTCACAGACCCGTGCGCCAACAATACAAATGAGCAACACATCTGTGAATAATCGTGCGAGGCACGCGAGGGAGCGGGCGAAATAAATGAAACGTACACAAAAATTCGGTCCCAAACATAAAGTTGTTTGTAAATTAGGTCATCATTGATATTACAAAAATAACAAAAAATAGAGAGAGAGGAAAAAAGGAAAAACAAACAGAAAATAACTTCAGCTAAAAATAGCATTGACGATAACATCGATCAAAGAAATCAAATGAAAAATTTGAAGAATTTTTGCAAACCCATTTAAAAATGTGTCAACAGCGGAAATAATAAATTTAAACTAAAACATACTACTTATATTATTATTACATACATGTCAATAAACAAATATTTCTATGCATATATATTGTTTTATTTGTTTTATTGATAAGGTTTGTAGCATAAATATAACTTTATATTACATTTGTTAGTATATATTTCTCTCACAATTGTAATTATCACAACGAAAAACTTACAAAGTAATATATTATGTTATTGGTATTATTATTATTCGTTAATTTTAGTTAATAATTTACCTATTATAATATGCAAATAAATAAAATATGA